GCCAGACTTCTACTGATAAGCAGTGAGATATTCAATAATGGAAACAAACAAAGAATTATATGTAGGTTTTATTAGATGTAGCAGTTATTACTACTGCTCAGAACAGTATAGCATGTAGCCACAATGCACAGAACTCAATAGTTTATATCTTATTTTGCATTTATTTACCCTTGAACTGAGTAACATTGTGCAGCAGAAAGTGGTACTAAAAGAGGTTTGAGAAAGGAGGAAATTAGCATTGTTTTGTGCCTCTGTTCAAGGCACTTAAATCTGAAGAGAGGAAAAACAGAGTCTACTCACTCTTAGCAGCCTTGATTGTTATCATCAGCAGTCCTTTGGGAACAGACAGGAAAGGAAAGACTTTCCACAGACTTTAATGGAAAGTCACGGAATTGATGATTACTGCTGTAATGCCATGGAAATACTAGGAAAGACCAAATAAAACCTAATTTGCTTTGAAATTACCAATCATCCAGCTGTTCCCCGCAGTCCACCTCTATCTGGACAGCTGGTACCTGCAACATGATGCTCCATGATCAGTAGTCATGCTAGGTGGAGAAGTAATGGATAGGGAGGGGCAAAAGAAAATAAAGCTGTTTTTTTCACCATGAGGGATGGTGGCATTACATTGAAAGAAAATATTTTCTGGCTCTTTCCATGCTATGTCTGTTCTATGAACAGGTGGAGGAATTTATGGTCTTCAGCCCTGCCAGGAGGGGTATTTTTCATCAGCAGTATTTTTATTGTTAAATTAACAAAACAAACATAAATGTGGGTAACAATACAGGTTTCATTTCTATGGAGTAATTAGAGCTGGGCATATATTAAGAAGCCAAAAAACTAAAACTGTATACACCAAAACAAATTTAACTTACGTACTACTATGCCTGCGTGCCAAGCCACTAGGAAGCCCTTCAAGTCAAGGCGTAGAATACCCTATATGAATGCCAGCATTTTGTGTTGCTTTGAAACTGGAAAATAAGTAGACACAACCAAAAAAAATTAATATGAGGTAAGGGGAAGCTGTTGTTCTGGGGATACAGGTAGGGAAACATATTTCCTACTCTGGAAGAGACTGAGAAACCTTTTTATCGGTCTATGGTTTTTTTAAGACAGTGAGTCAATTGGGGACATTAAAGCTTACTCATTTCTGTAAAGTCTAGGAGTGATAAATGCTGCCGTGTGAAGCATTTTGAATTATTATTAGAGCAGAATAAGTATTGAAAGAAAAGAGCACTACAAATATTTAGCTGAATATTGTTCAAGCCATGCTTGTGTTTCTATGGTGTTCATCTTCTATGGATATTCACAGCAAGGATGCCTGTGAGAAGTGACTTTCCAGATTGTATATAAAAATATTAATGGAAACAATTTTGTTTTCACTGCATTTAAATGTTTGTGGCAGAAATGCTTGTACAAACACTGAACAGTGAAGGGAAAATGACTGTGCTATGACTAAACATTCTATCAGCACTCTGAGTACCCAGAAAATGAAATAACAAATAAATCCAAGAAAATGTCCTTTTGCTTGTATGTATTTCATGAGCAGAAAGAATGCTTAACCTTGTCAGATGAATTATTTACCATGAGCTATTATCAACACTAATAATAATTATTATTATCACTATTTCCATTGTTCTTGTGCCGCAATTTTCACAGATGGATGTCAGGTCCATATATTTTGTGGCATACTGATTAAAGAGATAATTAAGACCCTTTTCCTGAAAGATTTCTCTCATTTATTCAGTTAAAAATAGTTACTCTCATCAAGTCATGTTAGAAGTACTGTGACTTCTGATAATATACCGTCAAACAAGACAGAAGAGTGAAAAAAAGGATTCACTTGAAGGTCCTTTCCCACTAAGTAACCTAAAATGTTCAGTAAGGTTCTGTATGCTGGGTTAAGGAGAATAAATATCAGTTCTCCAATAGTTACAGGGGGGAAAAAATACCAGAATTCTCAGGAAGGATTAATTATATTGTCTATATAATTTTTTTTCTATTGTACTGTCTATATAAATAAACTGCATTCGTCCTTAAAAATATAGTCATATTATCAATTACCTGCCTAAGAAATATGTATGTTGAATTATATGCAAATATTCCTTTATAATGTTAACATTAATTAAGTGTAAATGTAAAGCATGGCAACTTATTTCCCACATGTAATAAATATTAGAAGCAGAGAACTTGGAAGGTAACTCACTCTGTACATATAAAAAGAGAACAAAGTACGACAATCCTAAGAAGTACATCAACATGTCCTGTGGATATCCTTTTGGGATACCTCAAAAAGTTGTATTGACTGAATAAAAAACTACTTATAGAATCCTCCTAGATTTTACACTTGAGGGCTTATCTACCTGACAAAGCCGTTCCTTATAACTGAAGATATAATTTTAATTTTTTAGAGTTATACTAGTAAAATCTCCCTATGGACATTTTTATTCTAAGGCCAGGTATAGACATTACACTTATACTGGTATAAGTGATAGGAAGTCCTTCTCCCTGGGGCTGTGCCAGCTTTAGGAGTCATGGGAGTCCCTGGGTGGGCTCCTACTTACCCACCCAGGGACCTCCGCGCCTCCACAATCTGGCACAGATCCAGGGGCAGGACTGGAGAAGGGCATGGCCAAGCAGGGTTGCTTCTGCTACATGCAAATAGTGGCTGATGCTGCTGGGAGAGGGGAGGAAGGGGTGTTTGGCCATGCCTGGCCTGGAGAGCCCACTGGGAGGCAGGTAGAAGCACCCCCAACCTGGAGGCCTTGCCTCCACCTTTGGTGGGTTACTGGGTACCACCATATCTTGAGTGGCTGAGAAGTTTGATGCGTGACCAACTGGCCCTCCAGCAAGTAGCACATCCAAACTTGGTTGAGCTTACACTGGCATGCTGAGTACTATTTTGTCTTGACTGCCTCTGACATCTCCTCTCTGGCTCATCATTGAACCTCTCCAACTCACAGTGACTTAGGCCCTCCTTCACGGTGGCTTTCCACTCACAGCAGGACATAGCATACCCCACTAAATAAGCATCCTGAATATGCTAGTTCCAGAATGGAGTTAGCATCAGTCAGGTTTCTGAAATG